TACATGCTGATGTTGGCCACTGTAGCCACAGTTAATCTAAAATATCGAGGTGTTTTAATCCGACACTGAATGAGTAATGTGAGCCAGAGGAGTCTGGGATGCACTTAAACAAGCAGCTAACTAAGAAAAACAAATGGTGTTAGGCAATAAAATAGCATATTTTTGGTTCTCTGATGTAGGATTTAATGCAGAGGGGGAAACTTGAAATTAAAAGAAGCTCCACAGTGGTCTGAAATCCGATTCCAAAAAAAACTGAGGAAGGCAGTTTAAGTTTGCCTTCAATCTGCACTGTGTAATTAAAGGGATTTACAGACAGAAATGTAATATCTTATACATAATTATGTTATTTATTATCTTGTAAAAACTAAACGTCTTAATCTTTATGTTGGTGTTGTCTTCGAAATTGTTATTTATCAATACAGAGAGGCGAATTTATTGTGGCAGACATCTTCGTGCTACAGCAACTCAGAGCTGACAAACTAGTTGGTCTATGACTATAATGACTGCAGCGAGTTCGGCCTATATGAAATCTATATTTCACACAGAGCAATGAACTACTATTTATAAAATGATCTATATAAAAAATGTCGTCATTATTTAATAATAGGTGATGCAGTTGTAGATGAAGCCATTTTGTAGCATAGCAGCCTCCATGTTGTTGGGGGTTCATGTTGCTGCGGTCTGAAGTCTGATCATTGCAAAAAAAACAACTATAAACTGTAGTTTTCAGGGGGACAAAACCTGGAAGATACAGATTAGTGCCCCTAGTGACTAAAAGTTATACAGTGCTGCTGTAAGTTTTTTAGTGTTAATTTAGCTTTTTTCTATTATTTAGCTTTTTCTTTGCTAACTTTTAATGTAACTAATCTGGCTCCATGTGTATTTGGATGTATTTCATACAGTTGTTGTTTCAACCATTTACAGAATGTTGCATCTGTTTAATTATGATATTAGAAGCAGATCTGTTGATCAGACTAAGCTATGATGTTTTTGTTTTTTTTAGGAAATATTGCATGTTTGTTCTGGATGTCGTTTTATACAGGATGCACAGTTATTAGATCAGACATTTATATTTTTAGATATTATTTATTTTATTACATTTAAATTGATTGGTGTAGTTATGTTTTTTTTTTACTTTGCTCCACATGAGGCACTTTAATGACACAGAATAATGATGGAGTAGAAGATCAGAACCTGACTGATAGCTGCAGATGATTTGTTAAAGAAATGTTAAACAGAAAATGTCTTTATTAGACAGAAGTTTGTTTGATGCTATGAAAATTTCATTTGCTGCTTTAATATATGCTTTAATATTTTGGTTTTATGATGGGGAATATTTATTAAAATAGAGTGAATTTTGAAATAAAAAATATTTTTAATGTTTCAAATATTTTTTTCTTTATGTTGAAATTATCTTTTAGGAAGAAAACATATTTTTAGTCCATTCTTCATTTTTATTATTTTCCTCCCTGTGAATCAGTCGCTCTTCTAGTCCAGGAGACGATCATGATCACCCGTTCCATTAAACATCTGAAATAATTTCTAACTTTGGACATTTATTCATTTTTTGGTTTAAATGTTTAAAAATGTTCTCACAATGTTCTCTTACTTTTGGAAATTGTACAGAAATGACTGAAACTAAAGCAAATCTGAGGACTTATGTGGAAGTTTTTGTTAAACAAGCATAAACGAGTCATAGTCGACGAGTCATAGTCGACGAGTCATAGTCACACAGCTAGGTTTTTAAGGGGTTCAATACTGATTCAAAGCACAGTTGATCTGAAGACTTTGCTTCTCTTGATCTATAAAATCTAATAAATCAAGATTAGATATTGTCTGCATAGAAAGAAGTTTAGATGAGAAATCCCATCGAGGGAAATTGTTTTTTATTGTTTTAAGAAAACAGGATTCTGCCACCATGTTTAGTCTACAGACTAAATCTAACCTAGATGTTAAGTGTTGGTTTTCTGCCATAAGCAGAGTTCTTTACCCCAAAGTGACTGCTTAATACACTTTGTTTGGTGTTTGTGGCATAATTTCTAATCATCAATACTATAAAAATTTGCGCTTTACTTTCAAAGTTTCTTTAGGACATTATACGTTTTCAGTTTCACCAGTAAGGCTGAACAGTTCCCCCTGGTCCCTATGGGCTGGCATCAAGGGAAAACATCTTTATGCTTAATGAAAACAAAAACACAAAATAAAATAAGATTCCTATTCACCCCGTTACATTATGAGTTACTGGTAATATCAGGAAGTGGATATTGCTGTAGGGAAGAAAAAAGCCTTTCCTCACTCTACAGGTATAATTATAAAACCTTTAGTCAAGATAATATGTTCCCTAATCGATTGGCTGGAAACAGCATTATTATATAGAAAGCAGCAGTCATTGTCTCTTCTATATTTATACAGAAATATCTTCAGCTCTGAGGCTGTTTTAATTATTTTGAGAAAGCTCAGAATGTTTTCCAGGACATGTTAAACTCAACTAACTCATCATTACATTTAAATTTAGGTTATTCTTTTCTGTTTTACATGGTGTTTCGAAGGAATATCAACAAATTTATTCAGTAATTATTTAACTTTCTCTGCTTTGTTTTAAGTTTCCGTTTTATACCTTTATAAAATATCCCTTGATTTCTTTCTTTAACATGTTAAATCGGAATGTGAAACTATAAAGAGATTGATGTTTGTTGAATGTGGATGCTAAATAACATTGCAAATATGATTATATGTAATATCGGAGCAGTGTTCACTCCAGAAATTATTCGGTCCAAACTCACCACTGACACTCATCTCCACCCTCACCACATAATTTAGACATTTGACCACCAAACAAGAACAGACAGCAAAGGCTGAACAACCTGGAGAAAGGATGATGTCCCTCGGGGATTTAAAAAGTAAACAAAGATAGAAGCAGAAACCTGGACTAAGACACATGTTGTCAGCATGTCCAGCTCAACCAACTAATCACCCATCATTACCACAGCTGCTATTAATAATTGTAGTAATGAAGGGTATTCGTAGAGCGCATCGACCTCTCTCACTGTATAGAATGTGATGCAAAAACACTTTGTTTACATCAGAAACTAATGTGGTGTGAAGAATTACATTAAAGCAAAAGGGTTTTGTCAGAGAGCCCATTTAAAGAAAAATCCTATTTATTTTGGGGAAATTTTTAATTATCAGAGTTATTGAGAAGTTCATTTATATCAGCAAATCAAGTTACTTATAAATATTAAAATCTTAAAAGTTTTTTCAAGACAGAAAAAAAATCTCCATGGCAACCTGTGTGTCACTGCTTGTGTGAAACAGGGTCAACATAGTTGAACCAGAGAAGCTGTGAACCAATGGGCTGGGTCATGGTGTAATGCTGCCCTCTACTGGATGCTGGTTTTAACTGCACTTACTATATAAAGTGAAATATCTTCCTGATATAATTTCCATAACTGTGTTTTTCCATTCGGTTAAAAAAATTTTAATCACTTAGGATTTTTGTTTCACATCAACAAAGTTTCCTCACAGTAAAATGAGAAAAATCATATAGCATGTTTTTTTCTTCATTAATAGAGGAGAATAAGAATAATCCTTATTTCTTCATACCAAACTCAGCCAGAGCCATAGCTCTGTTGGGCCTTTCATTCGCCCAGCTCTCAGCAGTAATGGCTTTATGGGATTTAAGGCAGCCTTTGAGTAAAAAAGAAAAAGAAAGAGACTTTATACTGTTTGGACTGTTTTGATCCAGCTGATTTTTTGGGGTTTTCATATTATTATCTACATCTCCGCTTTAAAGTCCTGTTAGATCCAATTCCACTCAAATTATTTAAGGAAGTATTCGCTCTGATTTCCACCTCCTTGTGAGATATGATTAATCCATCATTATAAAAGGATATGTTCTGCAGGCTCTTAAGGTACCCATCTTTGAAAGCCCTCTGTGGGACAACAAATAGTGCAGTTATGATCTCACCTAAAAGTAACAGGAAACTGCTAGATTACGTCATAATCTAATTAGCATATTAATTAGATAATGTGGATCCCACTACACGAAAGAGGAGAATGAAATACATTCTAAATAATTGCTTGTACTTTTCCTGAAACCATGTTACATAAATACATTTATTTTTTGTTTTGATAATATGAGGTGGGAGGGAATCGTTTGGAGTAATATGGAAATTATGCTAAGATGCTAAGATTCTTTTAACAAAATAAAATCAGGTAAATTTGACTCAAATCAGTCAAATGTTGACTTTATTGGAAGCTATCAGCTTAGACTTTTTGCACATCTTTTTTTTTTTTTTACATTTGTAATTTAAAAACATTGGATATTTAGAAATCATGTTTATAACAACAATATTTTTCCTGTATTTTAAAAATGTTGGTGTTCAATTTCCTATTTGAACACGTGAAGAAGCTTTCAGCCAATCACATCAGTGTGGATTGATGTTGGCGTCATTTATCGTAAGTCCTCTCCCAGCGCGAGCGGTGTGTTGTTTTTTTGTTTTGTTTTTTTTACATCTGGAAACGTTCCACGACGTGTAGGAAATCAAACAACCCTTTGCTTAGCAACCTGTGTTTTGGGGAAAAAAATCACGCATGCACACATTCTGTTGTACAACTCTCCGGTCGTCACCTGGCTTGTTTCCGAGCTGTTTTTGTGCCGTTAAATGTAAACAGACTGGAATGAAAGCCATCTACCAACACTCCTTTTTATTTCTGATGGACATGAGGACATTTTCTAGCGAGAGGAGAAGCAGGAACCGCAGAGGTCAATGCTTTGAAGGATGGCCGCTGCAGAGAGCTCCAGGCTCCGAGGAGAAAAGAGAGAAACTGGGGGAGAAGATCCAGAAGACAGCATGGATGGATGAAGAACACCGCAGAGAGGCTCTAAAGAGCAGTTTAGAGCACTTTGAATCCTGCTGCTATGGAATCAAAGGCAGCGAAAGTTGTTGAACCTGTTTATTGGTTGCCAGGCAACAGAGACTCCGCCCAGCGTTCAACATTTATATGCAGTGACAGAGTAAACAGTAGCAACAGTTGACGCAGAGCAGAAGGAGCAGAACATGTTGGGACTTATTCTGGATCTGATGGAGTCTCTGCTCAGATTTCCCTTCTGGACCTCCACCTTCTGCCTCTACCTGTCCTGGACTCAGGTTCAAGGTAAACCTCTGCTTCACTTCCCTCTGCTGCTTAGCAAAAAGTAGTTTATTCCAGTATACTAAAAATGCACTAATTTCATACTTAAAACCAGGCAGTGCACTTTGAGTTTCCTTATTCTAAACTATATTTCATATACTTAACAATAGTAATAGTATACTTTAAGTATACTTTAGTAAACTTAAAAATGTCCTGATTTAGTTCGAAGAAGCATTAGCCTACATTAGTAATACTTCAGTTACACTGAAAGTACATTGTTCGGTATACTTTCTAAACTTATACTTATACTTGAGTATTCTTAATAAAATTTACTTCAATTATATTACTTTTTGCTGCTTCATCTCACCTCCCATTGTTCACATTAAACATGGAGAGAAACTAACTGAGCAGTATTACAAATTACATATAATACATACTGTATTATATGGGGGGGCTAATCCAGCAATCTGATTCCTGTAAATAAAACCAAGGGACATAGCAGACGGGTCAGATTGGAATAATATTTTAGTCGTTATTAATGAATATTATCATAATTTAATTTCCATTTTGGATTCATAACATATTATTGAATTTAACTAGTGAGTCATCTCTGTGACCTGCTCTAAAATGATCTTATTACATCACGGCAGGTAATGAAGGTTCTGAAACAGTTCAGATCTTTGAAGTTCTCCTAGAGCTGTGATTATTCTATTATCTGAACCTGGAGAGAGGAGGTGCAGAGTGACTCTGGAGGAGCTGCAGAGATCCACAGCTCAGGAGGGAGGATGTGTTACAGATAGAACCATCAGAGACATGAAAAAGTCTAAATCTAACCTGTTTCCAGGTAACTATCAGCTAATTGGTTCATCCGAGCCAATCATAGCGGCTCCTGGAGATGATGTCATCCTTCCATGTCGGGTGGATCCTGACTGGAACGCCCGAGAGAAGACGGTGGAGTGGTCCAGACCGGACCTGAAGGCCTCAGGCCCACAGAAGCGTGTGGAGTACGTTTACGTGCACCGGTTCAGGAAGATGGACAGAGACATGATGATGGAGACGTACATCCAGAGGACGTCTCTGTCAGAAGGACTGAGACATGGAGACGTGTCTCTGAGGATCCACAACGTGAGCTTGGAGGATAACGGGAGGTTCAGGTGTTTCATCCCAAACCTGAGCATAGAAGCAGAGGTTCTGCTGGTTGTTGGTGAGGAAACTGCTCCAAACTGCAGGTTCTGGTTGGTTTATTTGATTCTGGAGAATCTAATGGATCCTGTTGATGTTTCAGACCCAGACTTTGTTAAAATGACGACAGCAGAGACGGTTCCTCAGAGAACCAGTCCAGCCCCAGAGGAAGAGACCATCAGAACCGGTGAGTCTGCAGGTCCAACCAGAACCATCTCAGCCTCCTTTATAAACCCGATGCTTCTATTTAGGTCTTCATTATTTCTTTAATTTCAGGTCGGCGCAACAGGCTGCTGCTCTGTTTACCTGCTGCTGTTTTCTTCTTCTTCTTCTTGGTTGGTTTCCTGTGTTACTTTAGAAAGTTCCCTAAAAACAGCAAGTAAGTCAGAAATGATCAGAACTTCCTGCTGCTCTTTAGTTTCTCTCCATCACATGTTTAATTGATCTAATTCTTCCTCCAGGTTCTGTCCTCTGCAGCAGATCTGTGTTCATGCAGACAGGAACTCTGCAGAAAGGGATTCAAACCAGCAGCTTAACCCTCCTGGAGAAGATCTTCATCCTCTTCCTCAGTCTGATTCTGGTCAGTCTGCTCTGCAGATGCTCATCTGATCTTAAACTGGGATCTAAGTTCAGGTTCTGACTGGTTCTTTGTTCTCCTGCAGGATCCTCCTCTAACTGCAGTCCTGGACCTTCAGAGAGAAAACTAGAATGGAGCGGAAGACTCGGAGATCTTCTGGTACCTCCTCAGGTTCTGTTCAGCCTCAGGAAGAGCTAGAGCAGAGAGTTCATGGTTCTTTATTTCTGGGAGGAAAACCTGAGCTGATTTCTCCTTAATGCCTCATGGATTCTGCTTGGAACACAAACTGCTGGAGAACTTTAGAAGCTGGAGCTCCTGTTCTGGATGGACTCAGCCTTCGTACTGTTTGTCAGAACGGTTTATTTATCCTCTAATTTGATCCGGAATCATGTTTATCTTTAATTTTTTTTTCACTCAGTGTTTTAAATTTCCTGTTTAGAACCAGGATGGTGTTTTAGACTCGACATTAAGGCGCCTGAAACCTTTAGAGGAGCAGGTCTGTAGATCAGACGCTGCTCTGATGCTACAATAGCATTACATTTACTTACAAACAGTAATAGTTTCTTAATATTTTATTTATTAACAGTAGATATTTGAACAGTGAGGGATGCTGGTAGAACTTGAATATAAAAGTCATCTGATATAGAATGACTTTTAAAACATAAAATAGAATAAGCTAAGCTTGTATTTAAAAATATAAAAATGATGTTGAGTATTTAGAAAGACTAGAGAAGGTTTATGGAAATTATTAGGAAAAGATACGACACATAAAAGAACAATCCTCACAACTTAAACCACTTGTTTAGTTTTCACATGTTTTCTAGAAATATTTGATGCTTAATTACTGATTTTTCAGACATTATGATAAAGCTCTATAATGTCTGAGAGTGTTTGTTGTTCAAGCTGAACCTCATTAGGTGAATATTTAACATTAACTTCAGATCATTCCTTCCTGTAGGTTGGGTGGAAATATTTTTCCCAGTGAGGCGTTTATGTGTCAGTAGGAAAATGTAGATTTCCATTAAGCACAATGACTCATGGGATCCTCCACAGATGTTTATATTTCATTGTTAATCATGTCTGCTGTATTTGGTTGATGTGGGACAAAAAAGAAAAACTTTGTTTTCTGAGTAAACTAAGAGGAAAATCTCCTCCCACTGTTTTATCACTCCTGGCTGGGTGATCAACCAGCTGACTGTTAGGGAACGCACCCAGTTCCTCTCAGACTTTTAAAACATTAAATAGAATAAGCTGTTTAAACACTTAAAGCACTTTAAAAATACAAAAATGATGTTGAGTATTTAGAAAGACCAGAGAAGGTTTATGGAAATTATTAGGAAAAGATACGACACATCAAAGAACAATCCTCACAACTTAAACCGATTGTTTAGTTTTCACATGTTTTCTAGAAATAATAAATGCTTAATTACTTATTTTTTCTAAGCATTTTATGACATTGTAGCAAATGTTCAAAGCTTTATAATGTCTGAGAGTGTTTGTTGTTCAAACTGAACCTCATTAGGTGAATATTTAACATTAACTTCAGATCATTCCTTCCTGTAAGTTGGGTGGAAATATTTTTTCCCAGCGAGGCGTTTATGTGTCAGTAGGAAAATATAGATTTCCCTTAAGCACAATGGTTCATCGGATCCTCCTCAGATGTTTATATTTCATTGTTAAACATGTCTGCTGTATTTGATTGATGTGGAAAAATAAAACTGTTTTATCACTCCTGGCTGGGTGATCAACCAGCTGACTGTTAGGGAACGCACCCAGTTCCTCTCCATTGGCTGGATCCATGTTGTTGTATTTTATCACTGTTTCATTAACTTTCTATAAATGAATCATGTCTGTATTTTATCTACCTCTCCTGGTTTTAGTGTTTCTGGGTTTTTTCCAGAAATGTTTAAACTTAATAAACAATGACAAACAGAAATGTCATGAGACAAAGTGTTGCGGGAAAAAAAACTTCATTTCAATAATTTATTTACACAAACTCAATACTTTCTTTTATATGAATAAATTGAAAGATGGTTGGGTAATAATTTGTGTCTGACTCTTTCTGTGGTGTGAAGATGACTGAACACAGCGCTGCTTCAATGCATGTTGATGGAAAGCTTAGTGGAAGGAAGAGCTGCGTTTTAAGAACTATAAAGCAAACATTAAAGATTTCAGGAGATTTAGAATGTGACAAATAGACGATATCTGGAGATACAGCATCAAGATCCTGAAGCGTTGAGGATTTGCTCTACAACAATTTTGTTCCTTCTGTTGTGATTTTATGTTCAATTCTATTCCAAGCCAGCTGGGAGTTTATATTTCTGATACTTTACTATGTTTATTGCCCTCTCCTGTAAGGGTGGTTAAATATCTTATTTAATCAGATATTATTTCAGCTGTTATATAGTGTTCATGACACACATTCCTACTAACTGTGTGTTAGAACAATAAATGAAAGAGTGATTCGAGCACTAATCATGGTCAAACAGTTATTTCTGCACATACATTGAATAAATTCACCACAACTTCTGTTCAAAATATAAGATTTTATTAACAAAATTCATTCAGCTCCACGTCAAATATTCCAGTTTAACACCTTCAACTAAGACTAGTAAAACTAAACTAAACTTATGTACAAAGAGGAAGGGAAGCATGGTTGAAAAACATATTACAGTTTAAGATGTATTTTGTGTTTGAAACCAAAGTTTATCTGGAAGAATTTGGGATATGATCAAATTAGCTTTTCACTAATTTTAAAGTAATTGGAATGTTTTCAGACCAATTCACAATGCAAATCCATGAGGTGAATAAAACATTATTTGGCCAAATAATGTTTTATTGAATGATTTGCTTAATCAAGAACCAGAAACCTTTAGTTTAATGATTCTTTACCCTCTTTGAAATAGCTAGCAGCGAATAGACATCAGGATTCCACTAAATGACTCTTCGTCATACTTGGTAATGGAAATGTAATGAGCATTTAAGGAACATATCAAGGAAATAGATAAAGCTCTTAACATGCCATTATATTATATTTCTTTTGATGGATATTAGAACCCTGATATACAACGCCTTCTTTGAACTTATCTCTACTGAAAATCTCAATGAAACTAGCAAAAGAGCCCTTCCACTTAGATAATTGGAGCCCATCACATTATTATGCAATTATAAAATTCTGGCCCATGTTTTTTGCTGATTGTTTAAATATTGCCCTTGAAGGGGAACACCGATTTTTTTTTTTTTTTTTTTTACATTGGGCCCTTGTAAAAACATAATATTCTACTCAACCACTTGAAGTTTTGTGTCATCTGGAGCTGTTCTGAAGATATTCCGTTAGGTTATATCCAACTAACGTCTTCTATGGACAACGACTTGAAGGCACAAACTAAACTGTTCATAATTCATTCTTTATGATACGCTAGCATTCATAACATGTATAAAGTACCGCAACATTTACCTAAATACCACAAACAAATACTACAGTAATGGAAGTTAATATTTAACCATAAACTTTTCACCTCATATTTCCACTCTATGGAATAACAGAAAAATTTTAGCTACAGAACAGAAAAGCATGTTCCTACAGGATGAGTTTGATAAAAATAGAATTTTTGTAATGGATTTATTGGACACAAATGGTAAATTATTAACTTTCTATTCCTCTGTGGTCAAATATAAAATACATTTTGTTAACGTTATAATATTGATTGTCATTCTATTCTGCAGTCATTGACTAATCTGATCCAAAAAACACTTTTGCACACAGTTGCACTACCCAAAGTAAAGGGTAGGGATTGTAATCTGTTGAATGACAGATATAATAGCAAGATTATGAATGAAGGATTGAGATGTGTTATCTACCCCGGATATAAAAGACATGTATTTAAAACATTGGCTAGTTCTAACTACAACCTATTGATGGTTAAAGCTCTCTGCAATTTATTAAAATGGCCATTTTCTCATAAGGTGAAAGAGACTCATTGTAATCCAAAGTTTTCATCACTTGTTTTTGAATGTTGCTACTCAGCTTTTTTGGAGAGATGTACAAGATTAGTTCAATCTTAAACTCAACATTTCACAGTTTAATTTTTCACACGCTTTGTTTGTGTTTGTTTTTCTACAGATAAACTAGACGCTTATTTATGTAATCTATGTAATCCATTGCTGCAAGTTCTCCTTTCCTTATTTCCTAAATGACCATTAAGTGTACTACTGCTCTTTGACCGTTTTAAAGGATTGGAAGTCAGCTTAGTTTATCAGCCTCTACATTTCACAGTTAATGGAGTTCTGCATTGTCCTGATCATTCATTGTTTCCTTGTGTCTGTACTGCCCCCTAGCGTTTGTTCTTATGTTGTTTTAGTTTGTTTTAGTACTCTATGACGGTTTGTATTTGATTTATCTTCAATAATAATAATTAAAAAAATAATAGCGTGGTCTGAATACCTCCATCTGCATTTGTGGTCATCTAAATCAGTGCTGGATGGACGTCGTGACATCGCTGTTGTATCAAGGAGCGTTACAGGAACATTTGAATGTTCATTTGATGAGATTTATTGTTGTCCAGTCATCAATGAAGTTTCCCTTGTTAATAAATGTATGTATTGTTTTACAAGAGTCATGCTGTTTTAGTTTCGATGTTTTTGTCTGGTTGGACATTTTTCAAGCTGGTATACTGTGTATATATATATATATATATATATATATATATATATATATATATATATATATATATATATATATATATATATATATATATATATATATATATATATATATATATATATATATATATATATATATATATATATATATATATATATATATATATATATATAATTTATTATTTCGGTTATTTTGGGGTTTTTTTTGTCTCTCTCTTTCTCTCTCCTTTATTTCATATCCACTCTCCCTTTCTTTTTTTTCTTTTTTTATAAATTGTGTCATTTGAGAAATGTAAAAATAAAATCAAACAAAAGTTTTTTCTTTTCTTTTATTTTATCTTAGTAACTGCATCATTGCAATAAGATAAACATTTTCAGAGATCTTTTCTTTATTTCCCTGGCAATGCCAATAACTGGAGGGTGTAGATAATTATCACAGGTTGCTCATCAGCTGTGCCTCTGCTGTGGCTCACTGAGGAATCACACATACAGTATGACTTTATGAAGGATAAACCAAATAAAATGCTAATCAAACCAGAAATTCTGCATTGACTCTATAAGGTGTTTGATATTTTCTGTCAAAATATCTGTAGAGTCCAACTCTGCCATTTGCAGCAAGGCTTTATATCTGTCAGGCATAACATTACGACTGGGACTGGTTAGTGGGTGGAAAAATATCAGGAGGTGAGTCATTTGTTTGCAACATTCATTATGAAGTTTCTTTTTCATTCTAAAAATCCTCTGCTTTTTAAAAACTGGACTGTTCTGTATTTATAATGATCTTTATTGAAATGAATAAACATTGAAACATGATATTAAATCTTTATTTATTTCTGGAGCTAAAGGTTAAACATTGATTTAACATGACTGTATATTAGACCGTGCCAATGTTGATGTATTCCTGTAGAATTAAATTATTGTTTGCGCTTCTCTTCCAGTCTTTTTTTTATTTTGATGTCCTCTTTATCAGCTACAGGAGACAGTGAAACAAACCCTAGCTTTGGTGTAAATAGATAAAATGCGTGGATAAGCTAAATTGGAATGAGCAGGTAGAAGCAGATTATACCTCAGTAAAGAAAGAGAAGTTTTATGGACATGCAATAGAAAACCTGGGTAGATAAACAGGTTCAATTCATGTTTTGCTGCAGTATCAAAGCCTGGGCAGTAGGTGTCACTGTTCAGCTGCCTAACAGTTTAAAGCCATCTGTTTACAGTTCTCTCCTCACTCTTTTCTATTTAAAAATACCAACTTCTGTCTGATCCCTGACAAAGATGAACCTAACATATAGCAATACAGGCCTCCCCACCATGACATTCATATTTTGTGGACCCCTGTAATCTTGGCCTATTATTTATTTATGTAGTTTTTTTTTTTTTTTTTTTTTTTTTTTTTTGGGGGGGGGGGTGGTTTTTAATCAATTAATCTAGTAATGGGGATCC